ACGTCGACGTTGTCGAAGGAGACAAAATTGATTAGCTGGTTCGGGTTGGGGCCAACGTACTAGTTTAGGGTTACCTCTTTTGCATAAATTGAACACAACTCCTTAGATTCTTGAGCAACTCTACCAGAGTTGGTATATTCGCTGCCTCAAAGAACCACTTAAATCTTTCTTTCCTTGGATTTGATGTCTATGAGTTACTTGAAAACTAAATTTGGACAGTCAAGAGAGAGCGTGACGCCATCGATCAGATTGGTGTGAATATGACCTTCCCCTCTCGCTAGGGTTTTCTCCTCTCTCCGAGGCGACCTGGAGTTGAGTTCCTGTGTTACTGTCCGTTCCCTTCTCAGAGTCCGTTTCTTTGATCGGGCTGTCTTGAGCTGCGCTAGTTGCGTCCCCAGACCTTGGTAGGAGCGCTTTGTTGGGAAGGTGAACAATTTTGCTTGGTCCTCGAGAGTTCTCTTCTAGGGTTCGATGGCGACCAAGGTTTCTGCGTCGGGAGATGACGATGCCGATCTGGAACATCTGATGCAACAACTAGGGATTGAGGACACAGACTTGGATGATGTGGTCTTCGAAGATGAGTGCCCGGCGGCGGCGGCGACTGTCCGTTGGCTGGCGATTGGCCGTGTTCATACCATGAAAGAATACGGGGATTTTTGGTTCTACAAGAATATGCGAAACGCCTGGGACCTTGCGCAGGATGTCAAGTTCAGATCCCTTGGCGATAACATGTATACTATGCAGTTCTCTTGTCTTGGGGATTGGGTTAAGGTCATGGAAGGAGGTCCTTGGTCTTTCCGGGGCAATCCAGTGCTCATGGCTCCTTACGATGGTTTCTCAAAACCATCATCGATCGATCTGCATAGCTTCAAAATTTGGGTCCAAATTCATGACTTACCTGATGGGTTTGAGCCGCTGGTGAAACCCCTTGCGGGTAAAGTAGGAGAGTTCTACTCCATGGATAACCAAGGTAGAGATTTTTCAGGCAATTACTACCGTGTGAGGGTCATCTTGGATGTGACGAAGAAATTGAAAAATCATGTGTCTATTGTCAAGGAGAAGAAGCGCCAGATATTCAAGATTAAATACGAACGTTTGCCTGATTGGTGTGCCTTTTGCGGCATGATAGGTCACTTACACACCGAACATGGTGATGGTGTTCATCCGGAGTCTGCTTTGATTTTTAAGGAGCTGCGTGCTTCATGGGGGGGTGGAGCTGGTAATCGTGGTGGATCACGGGGTGATGGTGATAGGCGTACAGCTATGGCTTCAGAAACACAAGATGATTTTAGCGCCATGGAGATTGAAGATAAGAGCAAAAGCAGCGATGCATCTGATGTGGACACAGACTTGAACAGGAAGAGATCTGGTGTGGATCATCCACCAGGGATGGTGACTCCAGGGAAGCAGGTCATGTTACCAACTACGGGTGCTGCTGTCCCTCCTAGTTCTTTGGATAAACAGGACCTGAAGCGGCCTAAAACAGCCCAGTCTGGAAACGCTTCAAACAATTCGTCAACATCGGCGGGTTCCTTCGAGGAACGCCGCCAGGACAAATGAATCTGATTAGTTGGAACTGCCGGGGTGGGGGGAATCCCCGGACAGTTCGTGAGTTAGCGACTATTGCAAAGTCGCATTCCCCCATGTTTGTCTTTCTCTGTGAAACAAGGCAAAAAGCTTCAAAGATGAGAAGAGTTCGCGGTCGGCTTGGTCTGAAGGGTTTTGAAGGTGTTGATAGCAGTGGTATGAGTGGAGGTCTTGCATTTTTCTGGCATGAATCATGCATTGTGGAGATTATCGATAAGGAGGATAGATATATAGACGCCTTGGTGCGAGTAACTAATGATGTGCAGCAGTGGAGGATTACCCTGGTCTATGGTGAGCCGCGGGTGGAGAACCGACATTTGATGTGGGAAAAGCTACAAAATTTAAAGAATGTCAGTGAACTTCCATGGCTTGTGGTGGGCGACTTTAACGAGGCGCTTTGGGACTTTGAACATCTTTCAGCAACGCCTAGACCAGAAGCACAAATGGTAGCCTTTCGTGATACTTTGGAAATCTGTGAGCTAGTTGACTTGGGATTCAGTGGATTGCCCTTCACATACGATAACAGGCGTGCAGCTGCGAGTAATGTGAGAGTACGTTTGGATAGAGCTACAGCTACTAATTCTTGGAGGAATCTTTTTCCTTTATATTCTGTACATCATGTTGCTTCGCCATGTTCTGATCATGTTGCTTTAGTGGTGAAGGGGGAGCCTGAAACTGCTCATGTGGGTCCAAAAACACGTCGTTATGAAGTTTTTTGGGAAAGAGATGGTGCTTTGCCGGATGTGATAAAAGAAGCATGGGCTTCTGTGGGGTCGGTTGCTAGTTTAGAGCAACTTCAATCGGCCTTGACCAAGACAATGGCTACTCTGGGAGCATGGAGTAATAAAAAATTTGGCAATGTTTCCAGAGAGTTAGCTAAATCCCGGTCGCAGCTAGAGGAACTTATGAATATGAATGCGGATAGACAGGACATACGTACAATTACTGACAAAATGAATGAACTATTATATCAGGAGGAAATGATGTGGATGCAAAGATCAAGAATAACATGGTTGAAAGAGGGTGATAGGAATACGAAATATTTCCAGAGTAAGGCTGTTTGGAGAGCTCGAAAGAATAAAATCCGTGCACTGACCGACAGCATCGGTATTGTCCATTCCGATTTCGGTGAGATGGCTACCATGGCAAATGAGTATTTCCAAGGAATTTTTTCGGCAGACCCGTCACTTGATGCTACCCCCGTCCTCGATCTTTTGGAAGCTAGGGTGTCTGAGGAGGATAATGAGAGGCTGTGTGCAGCCTTCAGCGACAAGGAAATTGCAGATGCATTATTTCAGATTGGTCCTTTGAAGGCTCCAGGTCCGGATGGTTTTCCGGCTAGATTTTTTCAGCGGAACTGGGGCACTCTAAAGGACAGCGTGATTTGTTCTGTCAAGGAATTTTTCAGGACTGGAATTATGCCAGACGGGGTAAATTCTACTTCCATTGTTCTGATTCCTAAAAATTCTAATCCTACTAGTCTGACTGATTACAGGCCCATTAGTCTATGCAATGTCATTTACAAGGTTATTTCCAAATGCCTTGTTAATCGTTTGAGGCCACTATTGGATGACATTATTTCTCTAGAGCAGAGTGCATTTATTCCTGGGAGGATGATCACAGACAATGCTCTTGTGGCCTTTGAATGCATCCATCATATTAAACAGGAAAAGGAGCCAACAAGGAGTTTTTGTGCGTATAAGCTTGATTTGTCCAAAGCATATGACAGGGTTGATTGGGTGTTCTTGAAGCAGGTGATGCAAAAGCTGGGTTTCTCTCGTCGGTGGGTGGACTGGATTATGTCTTGTGTCACATCGGTGAGGTATTCCGTTAAATTAAATGGAACCCTCTTGGATTCATTTGCACCATCGCGTGGTCTTCGGCAAGGGGACCCTCTTTCTCCCTTTTTGTTCCTCTTGGTGGCGGATGGTCTTTCTGCTATTCTTAAACAAAATGTGGCTGCCGGTGATATTACTCCTATCAAAATATGTAGAAGAGCTCCGGGTATTTCACACCTTTTGTTTGCAGATGATACTATGTTATTTTTTGAAGCATCACGTGTTCAAGCTGAAAAGGTTAAGCATGCTCTGGATTTGTATAGTAATGCTACAGGACAGAGTCTGAACTTTAATAAATGCTCCATTCTCTTTGGAAGTTCTTGTCCTGCTCCTGTTCAAGAGGAAGTTGGAGAGGTTCTCAATGTCTCTAGTTCTATTTTTGAAGAAAAGTATTTGGGTCTTCCAACTCCTGATGGCCGTATGTCTAAAGGACGTTTCCAAAATTTGCAAATGAGCCTCACAAAACGTCTTATTCAGTGGGGAGACGGGTTCCTCGCTCAGCCTGGTCGAGAGACACTCATCAAATCTGTAGCGCAAGCATTACCCACTTACATTATGGGCGTGTTTAAACTACCCTTTTCTGTATGTGATGAGCTCACTAGGATGGTGAGGGGCTTCTATTGGGGTTCCTCAAATGGTAAACGGAAGGTTCATTGGCGTGCTTGGGATGATTTGTTACAGCCAAAGAATAAAGGCGGTGCTGGATTCCGGGATTTTCGTCTGTTTAATCAAGCGTTATTAGCTCGTCAGGCTTGGCGTTTAATTACTAGACCAGAGAGCTTATGTGCACAAGTTCTGAAGGCCAGGTACTATCCAGAAGGGAAACTAGAGGACACTGTTTTTTCTGGGAATGCCTCATCATCTTGGCAGGCTATTTCTTATGGGCTGGAGCTTTTGAAAAAAGGTTTGGTTTGGAGAGTTGGGAATGGCAGGAGCATCCGAGTCTGGCGTGATAATTGGATACCCCGTCCTTTCTCATTCAAACCTATCACGCTTCAGGGCAGATGCCGTATACGTTTTGTGTCTGAATTGTTGAATGCTAATGGTTCTTGGAATATAGGATTGCTACAGGAGTATTTTTTGCCGCCTGATGTGTTGGAAATTATTAAAATTCGAGCTTCGCCCCGGTTGGAAGATGATACACTTGCTTGGGGTCCAGGCAAATATGGTATTTTTACTGTGAAGAGTGCATATCAATTTGCCTTCGATGAAGCTCACAGAATGAATGCAGCGGGATCTAGTTCCAGTCCGGATGGTCGCCGTTCTTGTTGGAACCTTATTTGGTCTTGCGATGTTCCTCCTACAGTTCGAAACTTTGCTTGGAAAGTCGCTACTAATGCTTTGCCGACATGGCAGAAGAAGCATAGTAGGAGTCTGGAGGTTAATGACCTTTGTCCAATTTGTGCTGTTGAGCCGGAAGATAACTTCCATCCCCTCTGTCGCTGCACTTTTGCTAGAGAATTATGGTCAACAATGTCGGAGGTTTGGTCCTTACCTGACTTGGCTGCTATTAGAAATACAGGTAAGGAATGGCTGCTTCATGTCCTTGACCCATTGCCAGAAATCGAGAGGTGCATGCTTCTTTTGACTTTGTGGAGGATTTGGCACATCCGTAATGAAGTGTTACACCATAAACCTGCGCCCCCAATGGAAGCGTCCAGGAGGTATTTGGTGAGTTACCTTGATTCCTTGGTTGGTCTTAAAATTGATCTATCTTCTGATCCGAGCAAAGGGAAGTCCTTAGTTACATACGACAGGCCACTTAAAAATCCACATGTTCGAATAGTTGAGAGCACTCCTGTCAAATGGTGTCCCCCTATGGCGGGTTGGGTGAAACTGAATACTGATGGGTCCTTTGCAGTAAATGGTACGGCTGGTGCGGGGATGGTGCTGCGAGATGACAAAGGTAATGTCATCTACTCAGCTTGCAGGGAGCTTTTTTCATGCCGAGAAATTCTTGAAGCGGAGTTGTGTGCTTGCATGGAAGGCCTGTCTTTTGCAATTCAGAGAAGCGACTTGCCGATCATTATTGAGATGGACTCCATTATTGCAGTCAAGCTGATTCAAGCGATGGATATTGATAGATCGATCTACTCTTCTTTAGTTAAAGAAATTAGACACCTGATGTCTCTTCGTGATTCTTGTATTACTCATATAAATCGTACGCAAAATAAGGTTAGCGATAGCTTAGCAAAGTTTGCTAGACAAGAGGGCAGAACAATGACCTGGGTTGGGTCAGGCCCATCAGTTTCTTTAGAGCTAGCCGAGGCTGATTGTATGGACATTGAGATTTGAGTAATGCAAAGATTTTACCCGCAAAAAAAAGAGAGAGCGTGACAAGGCTGAGACCAAGGCAACGCGTCCGGCCATGGTGTCTCCGGCGAGGCCGAGCAAGGACCTCGCGCGGAGAAGGTGGGGGTGGGGGACGCAACTAGATGTGGCGTCGGTGGCGTAGACAAGAACCAGGTTCATGGGTGTGGGTGGGGGGCCTTTCCATTTTGAGTCCCATTTGAATGGGACAACAACCAAACTCGAGATAGGGATGCTATGGCCGACCACCTTTCCATTTTGAGTCCCATTTGAATGGGACAACAACCAAACTCGAGATAGGGATGCTATGGCCGACCACAGTGTCACCGGCAACTGTTCTCACAGTGACTCGCATAACGCATGGACGACACGGCTCTCCATGGCATCGTTGACGAAGGAAAGAAAAATGATTAGTTGGTTCGGGTTGGGCCATGTACTATTTAGGGTTACCTCTTCCTCATAAAACTTTTAGGGTTACCTCTCTTTTGCATAAATGAGCACGAGCCTTTGGACATTAGAGCAACTCTATTTTGGCAATATGGCCTAGAGGTAATAATAAATATTATTACATATTACCATATTTGTAATTAATGTTTTATATTTCCGTGCTAAAATTGAAATGGTTCTTGAATATGAGATTTAGAGAAATACACATTTGCATATGGGAAACATAAACACAAAGTAGTTATGTAGTCTTGCCTCTAAAGACTAGCTCATGTGTTGCACGATGATGTCGTTTTTCTGATCAATTGGCTTTATTAAAATAACAAGGATGCCGACTATAATCATGCCCTTAGACCATGAGAATATCGAGTACCTTCATGCCAGACGTTTGCGTTGCGGTTGTCAAACAGTTCCCGTAACAAAGTGATTATCAGGACAACTTTTGGGTACATAGGAAAAGAATGTCTAGGGACTCAATAGTTCAAGACTGAGATTTTCTCATCCGACGATGGAGATATACTCTTCTAGCCCACTTGGTATTATTGTATCCATCATCGTTTGTCAAGACACAATGTGATATGATCATGGGGAAACAAAGAAAAGAGAATAAACCAAGATAACTTAGTATTATGATCAAATTGTTGCTTAACAAGGATGCCAATAAAAGTTGTGGCTTGAAATTGTTGCTAGTGTTCATCACATTGCCCTCTGATGCTGCATCTTCTTCATTTTGTAGGAACTTTTCAATGTCATCTTCATCGAGGAAGGCATTACCTTCATGTTGTTCTTGTAAGTGTCTAGTTCTCCCCTTTCTTATTGATTGTTTTGATTTTTGTCGGTGTTTGTTGTTGCTCTAGGATCAACATCATCATTCATCTATATTTTTTTTCTCTTCTTGTGTTAGATTTAATTTTCTAACAAGTTTTGATCTACAATATATACTTGGATCTCATGATTTTTTTACATCTTACCTGCTCTATATTCATGTTCTCAAACAGGGTTGACTCCCAGGGATTAGCTTCTGCTGCTGCTTCTTCGGCTGTTGAATCATCTTGATGCATTTCTTGCCATGTCTGCAGAGTAAGTTAATTTATTCATTGTTATTCATTTACATCTTACTTTTTTTCTTTGTATTTTTTCAGCATGGTATCCACTTACATTTGTGTCCTTTCCTGAGCTATTGTTCCTATCTGCTTGTTCCCTGGAGTCTCCCTCACTTTGCTGATACATGTTTGTAAGGCCATTTCCTGAGTGTACCTGCAAGCATCAGGATGAATTTCTTTTCTCCTCTTTTAGTTCATTTCAGGTACTAACAGAGCACCTTAAATGATCTATGCTATTTGCTTTTTTTGCATTGTAGTTGTTGCTTTTACCTTGTATATGATGTCAGATTGTAGGAGCGCAGTAAATGAAAATGATTCGTGCAATAGATTGTCAACTTTTTCATACATATGTTCCCAGTTTTTTTGGATGCAGTTTTTGTTTGTCATTTCTGGATATTGCAACTCACATTTAGTACGAGATCTTCTGGTGACACTGAGAGTAGATCATCTTTAATTATTGGTCTTTGCTTGCTCTACACCTACAAATATGATTAATGTAATGTCAGTAAGCAGCAAAAATATGAAGAATATAAGGTACATTTTCTTAGCAGCTGATCATTGACATTTTTACCTAGGGTTTTTACTTAGGTTTATACTAAGTAAAAACCTAACTTAGGTTTATACTAAGTAAAAACCTAAGTGATTGCAGAGTTTAGTCTACGTAATTCTTTCTGATTGTACACTGTAATTTTCAGAGTTAGGTAACTGAATTTTCCCGTTTGGAATGTATTTCCTCTAGGCCTTTGTTTATGTTTGGATTACACTGTAGTAATGTCTCTGATGTTTCAGTTGTTTAACTCTGATCATCCCAGACTAGTGTTGGTGTTTTTTTTTAGAAAAGGAGGATGCACCCCCGGCCTCTGCATCTGGACGATGCATACGTTCACTTTATTAATTATTAAGCACAAAAGACCTTACAAAGTAGTACATCAGTAAGCCCGAAGCCACCATCTAGGCAACACATATCGCTACTCCTACCCCCTTGATGCAGTGGTGCCGAATGTTCGAGCCTAATACCAAACAGACATCGCACCAAATCCTAACATCTAATGTCGGATGCCCCATCCTAGCCACATATCGGGACTGGGTCACACGCCGGTCCGGCGCACTCACCGAGACTGCCGCCGCCTTCTTCCACCGATCCATCTCCAGAGCAGGTACTGACGCACAGACCTTGCCAGGCCTGCCGTCGACGCCACCATGGCGCCAGACAGCTCGACCACCCTGCGCTCGTCCATCCAGTCGCATCCGTCGTCGATATGCAGCTGCACCATGCCGCCACCACTCGTCGTCAATGACGCGGTAGATACAACGCTGCACCACCGCAACCTCCACACCATCGCCACTGCTGGAGCTACTCGGAGCCCATCATCCACAACACCTCTCCCCCAAACAACAGTTCCTCCCAAGACGGCGCCTCCATGGAGGATACGACGCGCAGGACGCCGCTGCCGCCCAATCCAGACTGAATTTTGGACTTTCGTCCAGGAGGGGTTCGGGGGTGGATAGGGGGGACCTCGGCTTCACCTACAGGAAGGGTAACGGTGTCAAGTGACGTCGCCGATGCCGGGCCGAACACGCCGACCAAAGTTTCCTCCGGTCCCCATCCTATGCCACCAAACCTCCGTGTACTCCAGATCCGGCAAGCCACGATCCGAAACCCGCGAAGATGAAAGAGCCATGGGGCTCAACCCACCAGAAAGGAGGATCGAGAAGAACTCCTTGTAGATCTCCAGACGCCGAATCCAACCATCCGACGTGGCCAGCGACGATCATCACCACCCCGTGGCGGCCGACGGAGTTCGAAGAAAGGATCCAGATGGATCCGATCTGGATCCGGCGGCACCCGCGACCACCGGTCAGGCCAACGCAGTTTTTTTCCCCAACTAGTGTTGGTGTAGTGCTTTGAAAGTGAATTATCCACAGTTTTTTATTTTCCAGTCAGTTTTTTTCCCGAAAAATCCACCCATATATTGATCAAATAACAAGTCTTACAATCGTTCATTACATAGTTAGCCACGAAGGGCGGAACAGTATTACAAAGCACACCATCGGACCTGCTATCAAAACTAAATTTAGCTATCTCATGCGCCGTCCTGTTAGCCTGCCTGTCAAGCTTAACAATCTTGAGATCCTTAATAAACTTAGAAGCGTCGATTGCTTCCTTTTTTAGATCCACCAAAAGAGACCTGATAAAATTTTGTTTTGCAAGAAAAGATGCAGCAAAAGAGCAGCCGGTTTCCAAAATAATTGGTTTGAGAAGAGTGATACCAACGTACTGTATATCCCAGCAAGACACGCACGAAGTTTTGCTTCGTCCACTCCGGAGCACACACGAATAAAATTCCACGATGAAACCAGGACTTCTCCAAGATGATTCCTAGCGATAACCCTTGATAATTTTATTTATTTTTCCTGTTGTGTCAAGGTACCTGGAGTGTCTATTTAGCGTTCCACTATTTTGTAATTAGAATCATTGTAAGTAGAAATCAGTCGAACGGCCGTTTTTACATCCAAATGTGGTTGGAGATGCAATAAGCGCGCGGCTTAGGCCAACTCCACCGCGCGACCTCAAACGGTTGTTCGGTTTGGACGGATTTTGTTCCTCTGGGTAGGACGATGGGGTTGTGCCCGGGTCTGTCCTGGGATGCGGCACGGCCGCATCCGTTTGCCCTATCCTGTCCGCCAGGGCAAAAAATGCCCATATTTTCATATCAAAACTAGTTTGCATGTTCAAATATTAATTGTCTAAAAATAAAAATAGTTTTACAACCCAATTGAAATTGTCTCTAATAAAATAGTTTTACAACCAAATCAAAATTGTCTTGAATGAACATAAAATAAATCAATACATCTATTGGTTGCCAATGTGATCCCACACGTGCTCAACCAAGTCATTTTGAAGATCCGAATGAATGTGCCAATCACGCGGCTCATGATGGATTTGGACAAACTATTCAAATGTGGTTGGTTCTTGGTGCAGGGGCTCAACATTTTCACCTTGATAATCAAATCCTTGGTTGAAGATACTCTCATCACGCTCGTCCTCGACAATCATGTTGTGCATGCACACAAGCAGTCATCACCTTCCAACGCTTCGTTTCATCCCATGACAGTGCAGAGTTTCGAACGATACGCACCGGGATTGAAGCACACCAAAAGCACGTTCCACATCCTTTCTAGCACTCTCTTGCATTTGGGAAAATCTCTTTCTCATCTCACCTTGGGGTTTCGAGATTGTCTTCACAAAAGTTGACCACTGAGGATATGTACCATCAGCTAGATAGTATCCCTTATTGTACTGACGGCCGTTGATCTCAAAGTTGACAGGTGGGGAGTGGCCTTCTGCAAGCCTTGCGAAGACTGGAGAACGCTGCAGCATGTTGATATCATTGTGAGAACCTGCCATGCCGGAGAAAGAATGTCATATCCAAAGATCCTACGAAGCCATCGCTTCTAATATGACAGTGCATGCTTTGACATGCCCCTCGTACTGGCCCTGCCAAGCAAATGGACAGTTTTTCCACTCACAGTGCATACAATCTATGCTGCCAAGCATGCCAGGAAAGCCTCTAACTGCGTTGGTCGCCAACAATCTCTCTGTATCAGCGGCAGTTGGCTGCCTCAAGTACTCCAGGCCAAACACCTCGATCACAGCCTGGCAGAACCTGTATATTGACATCAGACATGTTGTCTCACTCATACACACATGCTCATCCACCAGATCGCCTGGAAGTCCATAGGCAAGCATGTGGATGCCCGCGGTGCATTTCTGGTACGAGGAGAATCCAAGCTTGCCAAGGGCATCCGTCTTGCACTCGAAGTATGGGTCATGAGCAACCACTCCCTCTCGGATACGATTGAACACATGCCTTGCCATTCGAAAATGGCGACGGAATTTATCCGGCTTGAAGAGCGGGGTGTTGGCAAAGTAATCGGCATAGAGCAGCGCGTGGTCTCTCTCCCTGTTGCGGTTCAGGTTGGGAGCACGGCCAGGGAGTGACCCCCTGTACCGAGGAAGCTGTCGTTGAATGTGGTCGTGAACAACCAGTGCAGCCACCACAAGATCTTCATCTTCCGACGACGAATCGTCCGATGAACAAATGAAGTGGTGGAAGAAAAACTCATCTCCAATGTCCATACCTTTGTGGGCAAAGTGTCGAATACCTTGCGATTGTTAGAGTTGTGTCGAATATTGTGTACAAGTTAGGTTACAGTTGGACTCTGAGTGGTATTGTGTTTAGATAGGACATGGAGACGTGTCCTAGTAGGACACTGTATCCTAGGCCTCTTATATATAGCAGGGGTAGACACACGATATAACCTATGCCAACATAATAGCACATGCACGCAAGGGGGAGCCAGTGGCGTGTGCCGGCGCCCGGGTGGCCGGTGTGCGGTATTGTGACGGTGTCACGGGGAGGAGCGCCCGTAGTCAGGCCCCGGGGATGTAGCCATATCGGTGAACCTCGTTAACAAATCTCGGTGTTGTGCTCATGTGATTGCTTGGTCCTCGGATGATTGACGGTATGCCTCGGATTTATTCTAACAACGATCGTGGTGGCAAAGAGGCCGCGATGATCACCTCGACGCAGCAGGGGTGGTTGGCGGCCGGCTACTGACCGCTCTGGAGCTCTAGTCGGAAGCTGCCGCGGCCGCCGTGGTACGTCGTCGGCGGTCGTATCCCCTCTGCCACCGGCTACGGCGGCGACAGCCAAACCTCCTCCGATTGATGGCCAAAACTACGACGACAGCACGGGCGTGTTAGCGGCCATGTCAAGACGTGGTTTGGTATGGACGGCCGTGGCCTGCGCAGTGAGGAGGCGGCCGGAGAATAGCGGCGGCGTCGGCGGAGGGCGGGACGGGGAGAGGGAGTGGAGGCGTTGGAAGCGAAGGGACTGATAGTGTCCCCGAAGGCGGGCCACGGGAGGACAAGGGCGTGCGGCGAGCCTGTCCGCGCGATGTCCATTTCACCCCAAACTCGACGCAAGTTTGGACCGGGAATGAATAAAAAATGGACGGACATTTATCCGTTTGGGGACGCACGTTGTGCCGCATTATTTTTCTGACAAGATAGGGTCGCGCGATGGAGTTGGCCTCGTAAATGCTGGTGCAAACGCTGAGAGCGCATTGATTTATGCTCCCAAGAGCACGACCAACCGAGAGCGGGCGACTAGACCGCTGGACCGGTGGCGCTGCTCAGCATTAATTTGGGGAACGGGATCGGCCGGCTTTACCTCCATTCTTTTACTACTACTAGCTGATTTACTTCCAAAATTAATTAAAGATAGGAGTAGTACTACTACTACCAGGCTAGCAGCCATGGCGCCGCTGACTCCACTCACGCCCCACATCCCTGGCCTTGCCTGCCATGACGCTCATTCCCCTCTCCTTGCTTCACTCCTACTACCATTACCAAAGTACGTACTCCTTTGGGTTCAGCACCTGTTCCTCCTTAATTTCTGTAAGATGAACCCTGTAGTCCTGGCCCAAGTTCAGTTAGTTAAGGCGTGAGCTACCACCCATGAACCAGGCCCCATTGTATTTTGGGTTCAACTTTGAACCCTGTACTACTAGCACATGTTGGAATTTTGCTAGTACGCCTTTGGCCCAAAGCCTAACTAAAATTCTGAAATTCTCTTGGCCCATTCATGCACACATGTGAGTGGAGTGAGTAAGGCTAAAGTTTAGTCCCATCCCGGAAGTTGAGAGAGAGTTGCACCTCTTTATAAGGTGAACTCTTCTACCACTTGTATGAGCATGAGTGAGCTCTTTTGGATCGTGACGACTCGGACGTGGGGTTTACTCCCATGACCTACCCGGCCCGCACTATATAGTCAGGCAGACGTCTACCCTAGCCGCAGCCGCTTTGTATGGTTTCTCACCACCGTTCCAGATCATTGCGCCGCCAAGCAAGTCTTCTCCATCCCTCCTTCCGGCGTACTGCTGGCAGCGACGACTTCGCGAACGACGACTTCTTCCCCGACCTCGGCAACCTCGTCCTCGATGACATGGGCGACAACGTCAACGCCGGCGGTGCTGCACCCGCTGCACCGTATGTAATTCTATCCTTCCTGTTTAAGATCGTGGTAGAATTCATACTTCTAGTATGTGCTCTAGATGTGATATGTTCATCTGCTATGCTATTTCACATGATTAGTTTAATCTCTGCTGCTGTGGTCATGATTTATCTTCTGTTTATTCGGATTAAATCTTGTAGTAATTTGCTCATATTTCCAACAGCACAAGCTCACATTTTCCCTGGACGCCGAGTATCTGCTCCTGAGTTCAAATGCATCGTAATAAACAGTAAAAAAATGTAAATATTTTAACATGTTTTGAATTATTTTTTTGGCAGATATCATTGTTGAATGTTTCACAGACGTGCACGTTTTTATGGAGAAAGAACATTCCTAATGCTCCGAAAGACAAAAAACAAAACTGATGCTCTGAAAAGAGTAATTTTGAAAGCATTTGGATTGCTGGTTTTTGTTATTTTTTCTCAGACCTCCATGAATGTGATTTCATCACGAAAATTTGCACAAAGAAATAAAACTAAGCAATGTATGTAATAAAAAGCATAATTCTTTGAATTTGTTTTCTGTCTTTTATTTTATTTTATTGTTCATAACGTAAAATTTGAGGACTGTTTCGCATACCCGGCCCCCTCTCCTTGTGTTTCCCTCGTTTGGGCGGAAGCATGTAGGGCTGCAAACAAGTCGAGTTCAAATGGTTAGATTAGGCTCAACTTATCTTTCGAGCGAGCTCAAACTACATGGAGTTCGATCGGTGGCTCCTATTTGGCTTGTAACAGTTGCGCGGAACGATCTTGAGACAATTCGGGCTAAATAAGCCAAAAATTAATCTATCTAAGTTTCTTAAAAAGAATATACGATTCAAGACGTTTGTTAAACTATATGGACCACAACAACAACACAAGAAAACACCGCAACAAATTATCCCAACCAAGATCATGGCAACATAAAACTTCTTCAAAGTACTATGGCTGATTCACACAGGTCTTCCGAATTTCGCATAGTACAACATGCTGTTTTAGTACAGGGACTGACCACGCTTAACTATATACTAATTAAAATTTTATTGTCCTCCTTTTGCATAAATTAATTAAATTCCGTATCCACCCGGATACTCCGGCTAGCTGCTCAGGCACTGCATGTGGTCTCTCCTTGAAATAATAGCGAGCTTTTCCACGGGCAAACGACCGACGGCCAGGAGCCTTCGTATCTTTCCAGAGCTCTATTGAGTTGGCTCCACCATCGATATGAAGTTTGGTCGTGTAACACTAATGACCCATTGGTGTGACATAGATGAACAACGAAAGGATGAGCAAGAGGGGAAAAGAGGAGGATCAAGAAAGAGGGGAGGGCTCACCGCTGGCAAGGCGACGACGCCATCAACAACATGGTTCTTGGCGCATACACACATACGCCATTGGTGTTGACGTGTGACGCCCAACGACCGAATGCCCCCTCCCCGCGTGCTCTAATAGTGATGGGCCAATATATTGCCATTGGCCACATCGATAACTATATCAAGGTAGGATTGGGACGAACAAGAGGCGAGGGACGAAATGGGCCGACCGGTCACTAGGACGACAATGGAAGGGGTGACTGGAGGGTTCGCACTCTAAATACCATACGGTTTCAATTTTAATTTTCATACCATGTAAAAGATGACTAAGGCCTCCTTTGGGTAGGAATTTCATAGGATAGGATTTCTATAGGAAAAATTCCTTTAGAGCCCTTTGGTTTGTAGGAATGGAATCCTATTCCTGTGAAGGAATTCTTCCTATCCTCCACATTTCATAGGAAAAATAAACATTAGCCTAGACTCAATGGAAAAAATCCTATAATGTGAATCAAAGAGCATCTCCTTTCCTATTCCTACTCATAGGATTTGAGATACATGTCAACTCATTTCCTATGACTTTCATATTCCTATAATTTTTCTATCCTATGAACCAAAAGAGGCCTAACATTTGAACATGAGCTTGTTTTTTGACACTAGCATTTGAACATGAGGTAAATAAACAACATGTTTGCCCTTGATTGAAGGACCATATCTGAAACATTTTTTCGTACCACCTGAGCCGGACAGCAATGGGCAGCAAGCGTGGAGGACCGACCCCAAACCCCAGCCCCCGGGGCGAGTGAGGGCTTTTTGGTCACGGGCCAAAACCCAAGAAAAATCATTGTCGCACTCCTCGCCTCAGCCCCGCCGCCCCCAGCCAAAATCCCAAGTCTTCCTCCGCACTCCACTCCCCCACTCACTCCCCACTCCACTCCCGCAAAATGCGCCGCCGCCCCGCCGCCGCCGCCGCCTTCGCCCCGCCGGCACTCCTGCTGCTGGCGTTCTCCGCCCCGTGCTGGTTCTCCCCCAGCCCCGCCGCAGATGCCGTCGGAGGTCAGTCCGCTCATTCGCCCACTTCCTTCCCCTCCCCCCAGCTGGTCCTAGCTCGTCCGCGGCCGCTGCTCCTGGGGTGATCCCTCCACGGCGGTGCCGGTTTCCTGGTGCCCGAGGGTTCAGAACGCGGCGTTTATTCTAGCTACTAGGAGCTCGAATGTGATCCGCCGCGCTTCGCCGTGGCCTGTGATTCGGTTAGCTAGCGCCGCCGCCCGATTCGATCCCCCCCAAACCACTTCTTGCCAAGCTCCGGCCTCCGCCGTACGCGCCGTGCACGGATGAATCCACCACCTATGCATTTCCATTGTACCAGAGAACCGCACATTCCACCTCGTATGGCCGGCTCAACGCGACCAATGATTTGGGGGCATTCGTCCAGTACCGTTCGCCAGTACATTTTCCGTAGCTCGTCGCATGGCCGATTCAGTTCAGTACGAGCAGTAATCTGGGGGCATTTTATCAGTACATTTGTTACTAACGAGGATCTTCACTGTCCCCAGGATGCCCGCTGGATTTCAGCTGGGCCAACTTCACCACGGCGGCGGCGGCGTGCTCCGACGGGTCGCAGCGGGCGGCGTGCTGCCGCTACATCAACGCCTTCGTGGCCACCTCCATCGCGCGCTACGCCAACGCCACGGGCCGCCTGGGGGTGCCGCCGGCCTTCTCCGAGATGTGCCTCAGCGCCGTGTCCGACACCTTCAGGCTGCGGGGCATCGCCACCGACGCCGCCGTCTTCTGCGGCCTCGGCCCCAAGATCAGGGTCGACTACCAGTGCGCCGGCCGCAACACCGTGCTGGAGATGATGCAGTCCCCCAGCTTCAACGACGTCATCGGCAGCTGCAGGGGGCCCCTCTCCCTCGACATCACCTGCAAGACATGCCTCAACTACGGCATCGTGTACCTCCGCCGGCTCATCGGGTCCGACGACAACGTCGCGCTCAGCGTGTGCCGCAGCGCGGTGTTCGTCACGCTCGCGACGCAGCACGGCGTGCTCTCCTACGACGATATCCTCACCTGCTTCTTCGGTGTTCAGGGGATCACCACCTTCCCAGGTATTTCAGCAGTTGCTGCACCAAGTTACTCCTGTTTGTTAACATTTTGACATTTTGAGTGGTGACCGGTCGGTTCTGAAACTCTGTATCTAACGTTGGGAGTGTACCAGGAACGGTGTCTGTCACGTCGACTCCGGCTTCTACTCCGAATGTCACCGTACCCAGTGATTCTTTAGCTCCAAAGACCAAAAGTGTTCCACTGCCACAGAAGCATCAGAAGCCGTACCACATTTCGGTGGTTCCGGGGATAGGGATAGGGGTCATATTGCTTGCCATTCTTCTTCAGATCGTCTTGGTGGTGCTCATTCGTCGAAAGAACAAGGAGCTGAGGGATGCTGAGCTGTCTGCTCAGAGTCCAGACAATGCATTTCACCAGGGTCAGTCCTGGAGATGCGCAGAAGGTCAGTGCATATGCTTCAGTTATAGATATATAACACTGTAGTTCAGATGAACGTAGATTCTTTAAACTAGTAATGATAAACTCTGTGTTCACTTGTTCATTGTATGGCCCATCATGTATGGTGTCTGCCTGAAAACTACTATCTAGGTTCTTATTTTCTGTTGTACTATTGATCTTGCCATAGGACTCGGAAGTTCTGCATAAAACAACCAACTCATTCATGTATACTTGCCACAAGCTTGTTGTGAAAAAAATGACAAATGCTAAAATGAGAAGCCTCTTAATTTTTACTTTAGTGGATTGCCATTGGTGGCTTTGCATGGGCATGAATATGATAGGAAAAATGGACTGTCCTTCTATGGTTTGATCGAAAGCACTCTGTTTACCCTGTTCTTCAGGTCAGTCGCCAATGTTTCAGAGGTATAGCTACAAAGAGACAACGAAAGCGACAAACAATTTCAGCACGGTTATTGGAAAGGGGGGCTTTGGAACAGTCTACAAGGCTCAGTTTAGTGATGGCTCTATAGCTGCCGTCAAAAGGATGGACAAGGTTTCAAGACAAGCTGAAGAAGAGTTCTGCCGGGAAATGGAGCTCCTGGCTAGGTTGCATCATCGTCATCTTGTGAACCTAAAGGGCTTCTGTGTCGAAAGGAAAGAAAGGTACTGGTGTTTTATTTGCATCTTAATTTGCTATATCCATACATAGTCAACTTTTCATCTTATGTTTCTGTGTTTCAGGTTTCTCGTCTACGAGTACATGGAAAATGGAAGCCTAAAGGATCACCTGCACTGTAGGATTCTGTCAATTTCAGATATTCTGTACATATGATATTTCTCCTTCAAAATATATCTTGACTTGCTGTTAAGTGCTCTCATTTGCATTCCTTCAGCATCTGGAACAAAGGCATTAAGCTGGCAGACAAGGCTACAGATCGCAATGGACGTAGCCAATGCTCTGGTAGGTTCACCGTAGTAAATAACTATGTTTCCGTTACCTTATGAAGTTCTTATTCTTTTTTATGCTAAGCCAAAATATGGAAAATCATCATCAACATGCATGCATCAAGTTGAATTACAAATACTGCAGGTTCCATTCCCATAGCAGCCATATTATGTGATATTTAAGCTTGGAACACCATTCCTCAGCTTTCTCAGTGTAGGTTCCTTGCATCTGTTAATTCCTATAAATGCACCTATTAAAATCTGTATTATATATGGATGAAAAGTATCAAGCTGGAATGCTAGGAATTAGGGTACAGATAGGGGAGTTTCTCATTATAACAAAACAATTAATTACTCCAACACGCCCGAGTGCAGCAACTGTAGCTGACACCCTTCTTCCACCTTGTCTCCTCAGAGCAACCACCCTCAGATCTAGGCCAGCCTTTACAAATGCCTTTTATTTACTCAGACACACCTATCAATTTGCATGTATAGATGGCCTGATAGCATGCAGTATCTTATTTACAACATGATAGCGTTTTGCCCCCTCCAAGAGAGATAGATGGTCCCTGTCTGTATCGCTCGAACTATTATTGCGTACAACAGCACAGTATTTTGGCCCCCGGTTTATTTTCAAGGGGTGCCATTGAACAGTAGCATTCAAGAATCAGGATCAACCAACGGTTGTTGGCATGTGGAAATTATTGGTTCATCGATAGGGGATAGGCATTTGTACAGGTATGAGAATGCCCATGCCTGTGGTCCAGCTATGTATTGGAGTATTTGACACTGTTGACCTGATTTTGGCCCATTTGGCCTAACATTTCCATAAATATCCTTTTGCACTTTCTGTCTTTGAGTCATTGAGATGGCAAGTTGACTAGTGATTACATGTTCAAATGTATTTAGCCCAGCAAACAAAAAAATTCTGGGGCTTTGGTTTGGTACCACTAGCCACCAGGACCCACCATGTTACCATGGGGCTTTGGCAGTGCTTGCCTACTGTTTTCTCACTTTCTGGGTGGGGTTGGAAGACAGACACTGTTGATAAGCTTGTTTGCTAGCCAGTAATATTGTGTTGTGCTGTTTGTATCCTGGATTTGAATTCAGGATTAAACATTTTTTCAGTCAGTTAAGTTGACATTTCACAACTTCTGTAGATAACTTCCTTTGATGTTTTACATTTTTCTGCATGATGGTGAATGCTGACCTGTGCTTGTTCTTTTATTTTGAGATTAAGACGTGTCCTTGTTCTTGCAGGAGTACCTCCATTTCTTCTGTAACCCTCCACTCTGCCACAGAGACATCAAGTCGAGCAACATTCTCTTAGACGAAAACTTTGTTGCCAAGGTTCGCTCGTGTGACATGCTGACAACCTCTAGCTCTATGGCATTTAGGTTGTGATTCGTGCTGAAAATTTTCTCCTCGATCTTGTATATTTAGGTTGCTGATTTCGGCCTTGCGCACGCATCGAGAACCGGTGCTATCAGCTTTGAAGCTGTCAACACAGATATACGCGGAACTCCAGGTGTGAATTTTGCAGTAGCAACCAGCTAACGAAACTATTTCTAGCAGGTTACCTTAATATTCAGTAAATCATACACCATTGTTGTTCAATGAATGAACTGCAGGGTACATGGATCCTGAGTACGTGGTGACTCAGGAGCTGACGGAGAAGAGCGACATCTACAGCTACGGCGTGGTGCTGCTGGAGCTGGTCACTGGGCGGCGGGCGATCCAGGACAAGAAGAACCTGGTGGAGTGGGCGCAGGAGTACATGTCGCCGTCCGGGGAGATCCCGCCGGAGCTGGTGGACCCGACGATCCGCGACACGGTGGACATGGACCAGCTGCACCTGGCGGTCGGCATCGTCCAGTGGTGCACGCAGCGGGAGGGGCGCCAGCGGCCGTCCATCAGGCAGGTGCTGCGCATGTTCTCCGAGCGGCTGGACCCCGGCAACGGCAGCTTCGGCGAGGGCATGGACGACGCCGACGGCGGCTTCTACCCGGGCCGGAGCAGCAGGGGCGGCGGCGCCGGCGTCCACCGCAACGAGCTTGTCCCCTGCGGCGGGGACATGCGATCCCTGCATTCATCGTCGAGCACGACGAGGTCCTACTGCAGCCGCAGCATGCTGCTCGAGGGCGGCCAGGCTCACTCCCCACCTGAAACCTTCTGAACGACCAGTCTCTGTTTCTGAAGAGGAAATTTTTGCTCCTCCGCACGATAAAACTTTGATTTGCGTGGTCGATTGGCTGAGGTGTTATCGGTTAGATGATCTGGTGCTGCAGATCGGTGTCCTGGACGCATGGTGGTTCATACAAAGAAGGATACATTCTTTAATTATTATGGAAGTGCTGTGTTGTGCATGCATGATGCAGTTTTGTTTTCCTGTTAGTGTGTTGGCATACAACATAGCCTGAAAATTCAGATATAAATACTCCACACAACATACTCTCTTTTTGCAATATGGCACACAACGTAACTTGAAAATTTGTAGCCGACCCACAAATAGTTGAAATGGGATACACGAATGCCTACTTGAACAAAAACAGAAATAGATAGAGGTAACAGGGCAAAGAGTATCCTACTCCATAACATTCAAACATATACTTGTACTAACATAAATCGGTCCTAACAATGGCTGACCAAGCAAGGGTAATCTCCACCTGAGAGCCACCGAGGTCGCAAGTGTGTCGACTTATGTTGCAAAGCCTGGGCCTGATCTTGACATGAGCTTGCGCCGCAATGCCACCCGACTCCGAGTAGGCTTCTTTGTATTGTTGGGAGTTCTCCTTCCGCACTTGAACAGAAACAAAGCGCCTTGACAGATGGAGGAAACCATATTTGCCCATTGGCATTTCCCCGCAATCGCAATGCCGAGAATCGAGCAGCACGATGTCAGGGGGGTCGATAACCTCCTCGACGGTGCCTTGAGGATCCATGACCACAACTTCGTGAATTGGCGAGGAGCAGACAACCCGGCCTCCGTGTTCGAAAGGGCATGGGCCGGCTCCGACGACGCGGACGCTCACCAAGGTGGCCTGGACTGAACCGGAAAGTTCCTCCTCGTACCACTCCTTGAAAGGGAAAAGCGGCGGCGCAGATCCTTGAACTGCTCTAACAGGGAGGGGATTATCGGTGCCGCCGCCGACTTCTCATCGTGGTCGTCTTCTCCCACCATCGTCCCCCGGAGCGGGGCGGCCGGCTCGATGTCCAGCCTCAGGTAATCCAGCATCGACGACAAATCCTTGCAGAGCCTCCTGATCTGCCGCTTGGAGATGGATTCGCCCGTCCCGTCCTCCTCCTCTTCCCCCGGGCCGCCGAAAATATCGTCGGCGTCCCAGTCATCAAAACTATCGGCGTCGTCCTCCTCCGTAGCCGGAGCCGGAGTCGTCCTGTCCACGATCTGCTGCTCGGAGGTCGTGGGGTGCGGTTTGCCTCCGTCCATCTCGTGCTCTTGCTGCTCGGAGATGGAGCTCGATTTGGTGGCCCCGTCCATGTCTTGTCTCGCCCCTCCTCCTGACCGAGTCTTGTTGCTCCGGCGACTTGAACTTGCCCTTGAACGCCCGGGCTAGCGATTGGCTTATATAGGTTTTAGTAGTGCAACAAGAGCACGTATGTGTTGGACTTAAACACGTACTCCCTCTGTAAACTAATATAAGAGCGTTTAGATCACTAAATTAGTGATCTAAACGCTCTTATATTAGTTTACAGAGGAAGTACTACTGGCAGCTTGTGTCCCTCTTAGTCTCAGCACGTGGACGAGTTGGTGTAGGATTCAAGATGGTAAATCCACGAAGCACAGCTCTCCCGTGCCCATACCGGCACACCATGTTAGAATAATCTTGATGCTTAGGTTTAAAAAAAGCATAGTTAGCCAGGAGTCTACGTAGTGTGTCCTAGTAAGTTTAGCTAATCGTGTTCAATCTAGCCGGTGATTGATTAATTAGGAGTAGATTATAGGCAAGAGTACTAGTCCGTGTCCTGGTAGGTTTTTAGGTGTGCGTCCGTGTTGTATTTGGAAGTCCAGGTTGAGTCGGCTTGCTAGCCGTAGGTCTAGGTCCAATATATATGAAGGTATATACGGGCATGAGATTTGTAACACCGTGTGGAAAAAAACCAGAAAAGCGATAAAGAAAAGAGGCACGACACGTGCCTTTGGCAAAAGTTATCGCGTGCGTGTGTTCATCGTGTTTTGATGTAATCGATCCTGTGGGCGATTTCCAACACACCAAACGACGACGCGGGGCCACTCGGATGACGGCACAGTGCCAGCGTTGGC